AGCCGCAATCGAGGTGAAAACGCCCTCTCAGTAACCGATGATCGCTCCCCGTGTTGAAAGAAGGAACAACCGCAACGTCCGTCATGATTTCCCGATTGCACAAGATGTGGTCGATTTCGTGACAGTGATGTCCATTCGGCGAGACATGAGTCCATCTTTTTCGTGGTGCCTTGAGGAACTGGCTATTGCCATGGTAGAGATGATGCAGTTCACAGAAACTCGCTAATCTCTCCCCAGGCTCGTTGCGCTCTTCTGCCGAATGTGGCCCGATGGAGACTTCGCAGTGTTTTCGTGATCCAACCCGGGCGTTGAAGTGTCCCATCACAAAGACGTAATCACGTTGCCTACGCGCGAAATCCTCGAGTTGTTCGTAGAAGTTGTCATACTGCTCTTCATCGCTGTCAGCTATAGGCGCGTAATCCTGTATGATGGTGACTTGCGAATCTCTCGAAAGGTACGCGGTTAGTATGGCGAATCGGTGCCCATGGAATGTTACACTCTTTACGTGCTTGGTGAAGTTCGGAGACACAAGAAAACCAACACTTCCTGACGTTAAATTCTTTTTTCGGGCTCCTAAGAACACTGGAGTTCCGTCGGTCCAGGTGCATGAGAGAGGTTCCTTCCGCTTCGTCTCGCTCAAACTGATTACATGGCACTTAATCCGTCCAGCTTCCTCGATGAGTGCTGAAAGCTGAGCGGCCGAGCTGATGCTTCGACAGTTATGGGTGCAAGCTATCAGCTGGCTCACTCTTGTCCGTCTCCTTTGGCAGCCTATGGCCCTGAGATTTCTTCGCCTTTGGCTGTGTGCTGATCCAGTGCTACCTGACTAGGCAGGGACAGCCTGCAGGGGACTAAGGCGAGGATGAGAAGTGGTCGTAATAAATCTTCGTCCCACAGGATAGCCTTACTAGGACGTTCCTGTCGCTCAAGGAGAGCGCAGTCCCACCATGAGCTTGGGCACGTTGGGTTCTTTAGTCACGGGATCGGTATGGGGTTCCGGCGTAACTCTATTCTGACGAATATTCCGGCCTTGCCTCAAGCTAGTACACTACTGTAAGGTAGAGCCCATGTACGAGCCACTTCGTGAAAAACTGAATAATTAGTATGGCTGCGTTACTGTATCGACAAGTCTACCCGCTCTATGAACTCTTTGGTCTATAATTACTCCACACGAGTCGTCCTTAGTGAATCGGCAGAATACAGGATGAAAAGCGGCGATGCGAGCTAGTAGGTTCCACAAGGGTTCAGGATGATCTGTAATATCCGCACGGTCACACGACTCAGTGAACTGGCGCTAGTGCACAATACTCTTGTGTTTTATTTGCGATAATGTTTTGTGCCGTACGAGGATCCTGGGTGCAGCAGTTTATTAGAGCAATGGCCTGACATTTCGAGACAATCGTCGTCTTCAGAGACTTATACGAACTCGAAATAATTTGTACGTCATCCACGCAGCAAAGGCTAGCACCGGCTATGCTTTATGAGAAGAATTGAAGAAACGATTTTGGAAAGGCACTGCGCTTGCCTTCAATGTGCTTCGGGTACATCGATGGCTATTTCAATGTAGCGTCAACGATATTTGAAATTTACGAATGCTTACGAATCATTAATGAACAGTCACAGTACGTTTGACTGCGCGAGAAGTATCACATGACGGACTCAACAGCTGATTCAGGGTATCCAGCGGCGCTGTTAATGTGAACTTGTAGTGAAACTATTATATTGACTATATCTCACTTCACGCCACATCGGCTCATCCTCAGGCCCTTGAATGTGCATTTATCAGCAACATGCTGAAAACGCACCAAGTCTGCACGGGCGAATCTGAACGTCATGAAGCATGACGTTTAGCTGGTGGGATAGCTGCTATGAAAGGTTATACGGTACACGAGGTTTATTTCTGATAAAGTTAGCGAAGCAGTGCTTTATATGTAGCATTTTCAGAGCTCGGCTGCATGTTTTCCAATCGGTGTACGTTCCTAAACAACATCAAGCAACTGTTGCTTTGAAACCGGCTCTATGATAAGTATAACTATATTTGTTCCATCTGACCCTACGAAAAGAGGGCGGAGGTGGTGTAGTGGAAAGTGGCGCACTATATCACACGCACGGTCAGGGGCTCGAATCCCGGATCGATGCCTGCCTAGGCCAACCAAGCTTTCCATCCCTCCGGGGTCGGTGAATTGGTACCAGACTTGTCTGGGAGGATAAAAGCACTGACTTGTACATCGGCTGGCCACCGCAAGTCATTGTATAGGCCACATACGCACTCATTACGCCACTACGATTCTGAATGGAAGTCGAGTGCGAGGGCGCATCCCTCAGTCGGGATTGATTAACGCCAAAAACGTTATCCTCTATCCTATGAAAAGGCAAGTGATTGCTGTGCTGAAACAGGTGGTCTACCAGATAAAATGCTTGACATGTAGATCAATAGACTACCAGCTGCCCGAACCAAGTAAAGCTTAGCTAGTGACCAGGATGGTTGTGGAATACATGAGTGGCGACCCTTGTAATGCAACAGTAAAAAGGTGCTCTGCACTCTGCACATCAGTTCTCAATAACAATCAATCAGATGTCACCACTTTTGGTTTGTTTCGTCTGATTTATTATTATTCACTTGGCGAGACTTCGTGTGCTCGGGGTTGATATTCTTGATACGAGCCACCACTCGAGGTCAATGTTCAAAGAATTATTGACTATTGATTCTTTGTCGCCTACCGTGTTTGTTCAGGCCGGGTCGCAAGGTGCTCCCTGTGCTGATATTGGATCGTCAACGAATGGGATGAAAGATGATCATCGGAAGCTGTGTTCTTGTTGAATCAAGGCAACTCCGTTTCGGCCCATGTCGAACTAATTTTTGTTTACCTGCTCGATAACTTGAGTAAAAAGGACTTTGAGCTGTAAAGTTCAAAAAATCGTGAGAAACAATTTTGGATGGGAATTCCTCTCTCAAGGAAGAGCTTTCTTTTCTGAAAGTCAATATTTATCATGATTGCTGTGAGAATACTTTACCTGATAAGTCATCTGTTTCTATATCTTCTGACCCTGTACTACCTGTTCCATGTTCTCCTTTCCAGAATATGAGAGGCAAAGATCGATTATCATTGCTGGTGTAGCGGAAAGACCGGATTCTGGTCTAATGAGGCGACAGCATGATATTCATTGCATTAATATGATCTTATATTTTCTAAGTATTGATCGCTGAGTTATGCTATTGATTACTTACTATCTAATAGCTATTGCAGGCTTGCAGAATATTTATTCATTCAGAAAGTGGAGGTTTCTCAAGATAATAGTGCAAGTCCTTTGCTATCAGACCTTATGCTGTCTTTATTTGAATATGAATATTCAATACTAAGGATTAACGCATTAGGACTTGAATTAATATTTTCAGTTATATAGACGATTTACTTATTATGCATAGTGCAGATACTGATACATTTCTACAAGAGCTTAAACAATTTATAAAAACACTTTTGCACTAGGAATAATGCATGACGATGAATACAGATGCAACTATTCGGATTCACAAATACTCACAAAAGAAGGTAAAATATTACTAAAATATATAATACGACAGATGGTTTTGGCTTTTTCGTCGAACGTTTCCCACATTACGCTACTAACGTTCCAGAGTATTAAGCTTACAAGGAAGGTCCTTGAGGGCGTGGGAAGCTTTTTGAAAATGGTTTTTTGCATGGTGTAGGGGCATGAGCACTGAGTACAGAACTATGGTCCATTTTCGCTAAATGGCCTTCTGAATGCCAAAAAAGGAGTGAAAATGATTTTGTCAGAAATTGCCGTTTTCACCCACTGAGCGTCGTTTGCTTCATTCATGGCGTCGACTGTCCGCACAGTAAAAGGCGCCAGTGGACTGCACATTGAAAGTAACGTGAAGGGTAGCCAAAAAAGGGAGCCACATGTTGAAAAGTGCTTGGAAGTTTCGTATGTGCTCTCCACGTTTGTGCCGCTGGCAGCGGCGGATGGTGTACCGGTTAGCGATGTGACTTCGATTTGGGCGATTCGGCTAGGTCAACGGTTCGGGTTTTCTAGGCGCTGCCATTTTTGTATTTTATGCTGCCACCTCTAGATTGCTGCCACCTCCAGATTGGCTCCATACTGCACCAAAGCTAAAGCAAGTACACCTCTACAAGTCGTCAGAATTTGATGTGTGAAGCACTATCAATGAAGGAGCTTCCAGGCTTCACACTCCCAGAAGCTCCCCCTTCCCCCCTCCCTCAACTTCCTCACATAGTGTTTCCATCAAATCGCTATTTTTGCATCCTTCACATCGAGAGTTCATTCATTTGGTAAAATGTTGGTATGATATCATTTTGATAGTCAAAAAACTCGATATCATATCATCTGGTCCTCGGACATTGTATGGACATACAATTCTTAGAATGATTTAGACAGTAATGGTTTGATTCTTGTTTTATTTCGACCAAATTCCTTCAAAACAGATGGAAGGCGCATCTAAATTCGATGACTTTACCGTTTCCATAGCGTTGATTTCGCGCCGTTGAAGGGTTTTAACCCACTGTTCTGGTTGGCCATCTCCATTTCCTTCTCTCCTCACGACCAGTATCTTCTGCAGTCACCTCGGCTTCAGCAAGCCCTTCATAGCAGGACGCGGAGTTAGGGGATCGTAGATTGGGAACGAGTAACGCCCTTCATCCAGTCATTGATCTAGTAAGCCGGCGCTAGAATGACTTCCTTCAGGGCCGACAGCTTTCTAGATCAAGCCCAGTGCTCATGGATCCTTCAGCAAGGAGACGAGTTGAAAGAGAATCTGTTTTGTTTTCCCACAAGAGTCCGCTGTCGACGCCAAGTTGACGCCAGGGAATCGGGAACTACAATTAATACGGGAATCCTGTTACATTTGCATTGACGAACGAGGTCGAGGGCAGCTTCCACCGAACAGGAACCGGGTAGGGTTTTGACCCCCATTACAACACTTTCACAGGGAAGCCCCTCCATTGATAGTGCTCCAAACATCAAATTCGAACGACCTTTAGAGGTGTACTTGCCTTAGCTTTGGTGCGATATGGAGCCAATCTGGAGGTGACAGCATAAAATGCAAAAACGGCAAAGCACTTGGGACCCGAACCATCATCACAAACTAGCCGTCCCAACTCGAAGTCCACATCGCTATCCACCACACCATCCGTCGCTGCCAGCAGCACAACCGTGGAGAGCACACATGAAACTTCCATGCACTTTTCAACACTGTTCACGTTATTTTCAATGGGCAGTCCACTGGCGCCTTCTACTGTGCGGACAGTCGACGCCATCAATGAAACAAACGACGCTCAGTGGGTTAAAACGGCAATTTCTTACAAAATCATTTTCACTCCATTTTTGGCATTCAGAAGGCCATTTAGCGGAAATGGACTATAGTTCTATACTCCGTGCTCATGCCCCTATACCATGCAAGAAACCATTTTCAAAAAGCGTTCCACGCCCTTAAAGACCTTCCTTGTTAGCACCATATACTCAGAAATTTTGAGTATTGCTAGAACTTGTACATATAAAAATGATTTTCTAGATAGATTGAAGTATAAGGGATATCAAACATGTCAAATGGGTTTCAGTAAGGATAAGTTTATTGCAAGTCTTATAAAACGCCTAGGTAGAAATAAGTTTAATTGGAATGTTAGACACATCCTATCATAACATTAGTGTGCAACTACTTGATTTCCTAGTCAGGTTAAGTTAATACCACAATAAATTAAAACACACCAAAAGTACACAAAATGCAGCCCAGCAATTTTCGTGTTACAACCTCCCTTATATTCCATATGCATTCTTCAAAGTTTAACTTGTTATATATATAAGAGTTTTATTCTTCTGTTCTCCCTTACCCTACTGATGAGCACGAAGAGAGTGTTTTGTCTAGTTTGACTTCCGTCTATGTCACGTGCGAAACGGAAGTTGGACTAATCCTTTGATTTATCCCCCCTTAATTCAATTTGTTTTAATGTCAACATATATATAGTACTTTCCAGGTAATAAATGCTCACCTATTTTTAGTACAGACTTGGTTATGCCAGTAAGAGATCACCTCGCTTACTGAAAGTAGTTTTACCTACGAAGAAATTTTAAGTGAATTGTTGCGGAGTTCTTCACGTTTGAGATTCTTTCATATCAGAAGAGATTCATTAGGGCGAAGAGTGAATGACCATCGTCATTCTAGGATTTGTTCCTCTCCTCAGAGTAGTTGAGTAGTTCACTATTGGAGTTCACTCGTTCAAACTGCAATGAAATCATTCCGAATCCTTCCTTTCAATTGCAACGTTGTTTCACTCAATCTTTGGACTAGTGACTTCCGGTGGGACCTTGATAGTATTTCCTGTTTCTTCGCGAATATAAGGTTCCTTTCAAAATACCCTAGCTATGTTACCCTTTTACTGTGTGATAATTATGATCTGCTCATATGTATTTTGTGAAGCAAGACATAAATCATCTCACACGCTTTGTTCCCTTATTTCGGTTGATAATTACTGTTCTGTGCGTTGCGATAGGCGCAAACGTCAGGGTGATGGTGCACTATTATTAATATGAAACACTACTAATTATATCAACATCTTTTCGATTGGTTCGCGAGGCGTACGAAATTTTATTTAACTGATTTGATTGTTTTGATTTTTTATATCTATTTTGAAAGTGACAAGTTGAGGTTCATTGTGGTTCATAGAGCTCCGACGTGTGCTCTGTTGCTCAGTGATCAACTTTGCAATTGGTGATCTTTTTTGTGTGAGCACTCATCGGATGTCGTGCGAGATTTCAACCTCCCAAATATTGATTGGTCATATGTCATCCTTAGGAGATTCTGTTTCAACTTTCATGGATAATTTTAGTTCACAAATTTGAACAGTTCGCATTGAAGACAACTAAAGAAGAAAGCATTTTGCATCAGTTTTGGACAATGATGAAGCCTTGGTGAACAATATTACGATTGAGCCACCGTAGGTAGTAGCGATCACATCAGTATTTCATTTCGTGTGATAAGCGAGTACTATGAGCCGCATTCTACGGTTTGCAAGGATTACTTCAATTGTAATTTGAGGCTGAATGCGTACTTTGAGTCAGTTGTTTGGAGGATTCCTTCGAGAATGCTAGCTCTGTCAGCGTTGAATATTAAATGCTCCGCGGTATTTTGCAACATTCTCGTAGATTATATGTTCATCTTGAGCGGGTTCATAGATTCGAAGCTCATCTTCCATCATCGCTCATCTTATTTACAAAATATGACTCATCATCGGAGTTGTTTATTCTATGCTGCTGAAGCTTACCAGGATAATCGTTATTGGAACAGATTTCACTCGTATTCACGAGGGTTTGATCAACTTCTAAAGAAATGCAACATTCACTGTGAGAAGAAGGTTCTTAATAGTGAGAATAAAAAGGGATTTTGTAAGCTATCAAATAGAAAGCTTGTGTCTTTATGCAAAATTCCTTGTTTGAAGTATAACGGGAATGTGGCAGTTTCGCATGAGGGTAAAGCCAATCTGTTAGCGGATAAATTTTGCAGGTGTCCTTTACCAGCGATGATTCAGTGCCCGTTTTTCTCCCGTTGTCGTTAAACCCTATGGTTGATTTCCCTTGGGTAGATGGGTAGTAAAAATTTTGAGCTCATGAATGAATTGCGAGGCTCTCTTTCTTTAACACCTGATTTTGTCCCACCCATGTTCATGAAGAAGAGTGCTTATATTGGAGCGAAACCATTAGATTACATTCCCAATCGGTCACTATGCTTCAGCCAGATACCAGATAGATGGAAGCACTCTTTTGTAACACCTCTTTTGAAGTAGCCTTCGCATTCCGTTGACAATTACGGGCCTGCTAGTTCAACCTCATTTATTTGTTGATTGTTTGAGAAGGTTCTTAAGAAACATATAATGGGTCACTTGACGATGAATGGATTAATACCATCCAATCAGCAGGGATTTATCCGGGGTAGATCGGTTGAAACAAATCTTTTTGAAGGTATCAATGACTGGAGAGTTTACCTCGACGAAATGAAAGCTTGCGATGTTATTTATTTTGACTTTTCTGAAGCGTTCGATAAGGTGGATCATGCTGAACCCTTGTATAAATTGGATCAGCTTGAATTTCATTCTGAGGTCGTGAATGTTAGAAGTGGAGTGCCTCGAGGTGGTGTATTATCACCTTTTCTTTGCTAAGTATACTGAAGAGCTCCCAGTTCACTTGAAAGATGTGGTGTTGTCAGCCATGCAGATGACATCAAGGTTTATAGGAATTTGGAAGGCATTGATGATACAGAATGGATTCAAAAGGCTTTGGAATGTATTTTCGAACAGTCATGTGAATGGAATTTACCCCTTTCCTGTTTTCTGGAGAAACCTTTTTATATGAGAATTGGTGCTGCTTCAATATTCCGAATACCTCTCGCCTTGGTGATCATGTCCTTACTGGGTCTCTTCTGGTTGACGACCTAGGCTTTCACCATAACAATAAGCTTAGTTTCTCTGATCATTATGCTGCTAGACTATTTTCAAAAAGGCTAGCTTACGAACATACCAAGTCTTCAAGTGTCTAGCGATTAGTGTTAAGGACGTATTATTGAGAGCTTAAAAACGTATATAAGTCCCATAGTACGTCTGTTTTCTGCACATATGCGATAGAGTATATCCAGTTAATTGGAAAAGTCCAAGGTAATTTCATTCGAAAGCTATTCATTGGGTCTGGTGATCCTACTTGGGCGCAAGTGCATCGTCCGAATTCAAGGAATAAATAAGTTATAAGTTATAAGTTATGGGTTTATTACGCCTGCGGAAGGCAAACGTGAGAAAGAAAAGAAAACACA